CAGGCCGGGAGCTCGCGCGCACGCCGCCGGGTGATCGCAGACAGGCAGGCAGAGTGGTTAAACTTTTATGTGTGTGTGTGTTTTTCTTTTGTTCCTTTTCTTGGTGCAGACTGGTTTTCCTTGGATTTTTTCTATCACAGTCCAAAAAATGCTGCTTCCTCTTCTTTGGAGTAAAAGCTACCATCTTCTTTGAATTTCATGTGCTGCATTAAGTTCTACATCTTTTTGGCCTTCCAATGCAGCTTGTCATTTTAAGGGGAAACCTGCACCTCAGCTTCCCAGGACCTCTCCTCAGCCCAGCAGTTTGTCTGTATTCAAATTAATGCAGCAGTGCCCAGTGATAGGCACTGCTGTGTTCCAATTCATCCAACTTCTAATAAGATTAGATCCCAGTTGTTGATTGTTTGTAATATTTTCTATGTGATTCAGGTTTTATTCATAAAGTCTTTGTCTATACCTATGTCTTCAAGAGTTCTGTCTATTCTCTCTTCCAGCAAATTTAATGTTCTGTCTAATATTTAGATCTTTAATCTATTTTGATGTTAGCATGATTTTTTTTTTACTCTTACTCAGACACTTTATTTCACCTTTTATTAAACCAAATGCAAACCATTTACAAGGCCTTGCTGGGGGGCTTCCTCACGTGAATGCTTGTTTCTGGAGTGAAAAAGACCATGGTTTCAGGTCCATGAATGAAGTTTGGCCATGTCCTGTCACAGATGCTCCAATGGCACCAGGTACAGAAACACTGCAGAGGGAAGGGGCAGGTCAGAGAAGTGAGCCAGGCCATCATACACCTCAGTGTTAGAACTACTCCCGAGGTGGTGTGTTCACTAGGTGAAGATTGTTTAGTGCTGTGGAGTAGTGGGGGCCTCATTTTTCTTTCACATCCACCCTGGTATTTGACTTAATCTAGTTGATTTTTCTTTCTGGTTCATTTTCTGTATTTGGGTTTGTTTGCCTCCCCTGTTTCAGAATATCTGCATTATCTACTAGCTCTCCACTGAGCTTCCCTCATGCACCTCTTTCTCTGGTTAGCCATAAAAGATCTGACTCAGGCAGTTATCTAAATGAATAATTCATAGCCTTCCAAAATAGAAAGCACCAGAACTGTCTGAATTCACTGATAAATTGACAAAACTATTAATAGAAAAATGCAAACTCTCTAACTTTTTCTAAGAGTAGAATCAAATGCATCACTTTCTAACTCATTTATTTGAATACCAAAACCAAAGTTGTTTTCAGGAAAGGGAACCTACATGCCAATATCACTGATAAATATAGATGCAAGATCTCTCAACACAATAATCAGAAATCAAGACCAACCATCTGTCAAAATAATTATATATCATGAGCAAATGGGATTTATCACAGGGATGCAAGTGTGGTGCATCATTAAAAATTCAAATAATGTAATCCATCACATCAATAGAAAAAGAAATTGTATGATTGTATCAATAGAAGTAGAAGAACCATTTAAAATTGAACATTGATTAATGACAAAAATTCTTAGCAAATTTTGAAGAAAAGAATATCTTCAACTTTATAAACTTATTTAAATCACTATATGTCATCATCTGCAATGGTAAATAAAGTAGTTATTCTCTCAGTCTTATAAAGGAAAAGGCAAGTGGGCCCTCCTCTAATGGTTTTCAATACAGTCTCAGAAGAATGATCTGAGGCAACAATATGAGAAAAATAAATTAAAAAGATATAGATAGGGAAGGAAGAACAATTACATTTTTTTTACAAAAGGCATCACCAAGCAATCTTCGGAGTCAATAAATCAACAAAAACTTGGAATAAGCAGTTACAGCAGTGTTGTAAGACACAAGGTTAATGTACAAAATTATAAGCAGAAATAAATATAAATTTACTATAAAGCATGTATATATGACAATTAATTAGTTTAAGCATATATAATATGCAAAAACTTGTTATGGGCAAAATACATACAAACAAAATCATAAATATGTTATTAATAAGATCAAGGCAGGGCTGGGGATTTAGCTCAGTGGTGCCGCTGCCTGCCTTGCAAGCACAAGGTCCTGAGTTTGATCCCCAGTAAAAAAAAAAAAAATCAAAACAATATAAATTGGTAGATATATTGTACATTCATGGATAAATGATTCAATATTGGTAAACAATTATTTTAAACTGATTTATAAATTTATCTTAATTCTAATAGACATACCATAAAGTGATTTGTGTGTAAGTTGAGTATGAGTATATGTTGAATATCCCTTGTTTGAAATATTTGCGAACAGATCTGTGTCAGATTTTGGACATTTTTAGTTTCCAGGACATTTACATATACAAAATGAGATCATTTGAGGATAGTGAATGAAGTCTAAACAAATTCAGCTTTTTCTTCTCTCTTCTGTGGATACAAGGTCTTGCTTTGGAGATCAGACTGTTCTTGAACTTACTATATAGCCAGGATGGCCTCGAACACACAACAATCCTCCTGCCTCAGCCTCACCAGTGCTGGGGTTACAGGCACGCACCACACCATACTTCATTTTAAAATTACATGTTATATGCATGGCCTGGAGGTGATATTTTATACAAACATTAAAAAAATTGTGCATGAAGCAAAACTTCATTGTGTGTCTCTTTCTACCTGTTGTGCTATACTGGTGCTAAACACCTTCACATTTTGGAGCACTTGGAATTTTCAGATTAGAGATGCTCAATGTGTGCTGGAAAACTGATGCTAGAGTTATGTACAAAGGCAGAAACTTGCCACAGTGAAACTAAATCTCCAAAGTGTTTGTGATCCAAGCTTGGGAAAAACAATGGGAATAGAAAATGAGAAAGGAAACAATACTGGATATCAGACAGATTGGAAAGCTTAGTATTGAGGTTGCTGAAATTCCACAAGCAACTGATTTAAATAAATTGAGACCCTGAGGCATAAATGAGGAGAAAAATTATATTTCATGATCTGTTGAAATATAATGGATCTGAGGCTGAGTACTGGAACCACAGGAACTTTTTGAAATGGCTTTTTATGGCTTCCCTCTGAAGAGTTTTCTCAGGGCTCCCATTAGGTCCTTGTTCCTCAGACTATAGATAAAGGGATTCAGCATGGGTGTGACCACGCTGTACATCACAGAGGCTGTTGCACTGGAGTGTGAGTTGTGTGTAGCAGATGAACTAAAGTACACTCCTAGGCATGTACAGTAAAATAAACAGACAACAGACAGATGAGATGCACAGGTAGAAAATGCTTTGTACTTCCCCTGGGCTGATGAGATTGCACGTATGGAGGAAACTATCTTGGAGTAAGAGTAAAGAATACCAGCTAGCGGTCCACAGAACAGCAGCCCTGCTGCAAAAAACATTACCATGTCATTAGCAAAAGTGTCAGAACAGGCAAGAAGGACCACCTGATTAATTTCACAGAAAAAGTGTGGGATTTTCAGTTCTGTGCAGAAGGACAGCCGTAGCACCATTAAGCTTTGTAACAAGGAATTCAGGGCACTTGTGATCCAGGACACCAAGACCAGCAATCCACAGAACTTGTGATTCATGATGACTGTGTAATGCAAGGGGTGACAGATGGCCACAAAGCGGTCATAAGCCATTGCAGTCAGGAGAAAGTTGTCCAAAACTCCAAAGAGTATGAAAAAGTATATCTGTATGATGCAGCCTTTATAGGTTATGCCCTTGTTGTGTGTCTGAATGTTCACCAGCATCTTTGGGATTGTGGTAGAAGTGAAACAGATGTCAACAAAAGACAAGTTGGAGAGGAAGAAGTACATGGGGGTGTGCAGACGAGAATCTGAGATTGTGGCTAGGATGATGAGCAGGTTCCCAAACACAGTGACCAGGTACATGAACAGGAAAATGCCAAAAAGGAAGGGTTGCAAGCTGGGCTTCTCTGAAACTCCCAGAAGGAGAAATTCTGAAACTTTTGTTGCATTTTCAGCTTCCATGTGACTTTAAAAAAGAGAGAGAAAATTAATGTAGCATATTATGCATTACTAACCTTACAGAAATGGTATACTTTATATTTTACAGTCAGGTCCCCTGAATCTGTTCCCCTTTATTGGATCTCCTTTGCTGTCGCTGACTTGGAACTTCTGTTCTACTCTAAGCCATTCTCCAAGAGGACACATATTCAAAAATTGGAATTTCTTTCACACAATTGAGTAATGTAATTCAATGATGATTATGCTTTGGAAACTGTCTAGGCAATGACTGATCAGTGCTAAAAGAAAACTAAACAACCCAAATATTCCTGACATCTGTTGAGGAAGAAATAATACAAACCATGAAGGTAAATAAGGGTAGGTAAGGATATAATCATATAATCTACCAGATAGTTATTACAAAGAAAAAAAAAAACAACAAAGGCGGAGGAGAAAGTAGAGTGGTTTTTTCCCCTACTAGGTTTATTGGTACATTTAAAACCAACAATACTGTTACATTTATCATAGGGTTATTTTAATGGCTATTTAGGAAAGATCAGCAGGTGACACTTGAAGAGACTTTCAGGAAGACAGGGAGAGAGCCACAAAGTTTTCTGCAGAAGTACATGTTTCACAAGAGACACAGCCAATGCAAAGGTCCTGAGGCTGATGCTTGTTTCAGATGTTTGAGGTCAAGAGAGAGTCAACAGGACAGGGAAAAAAATGACAGGGAAAAATGAGTGAGAGGGAGAGCGATATGAAGAAAATGTCAGAGAATAATGAACAAAGTGCCCTCACTGTTGCTGAAGCTTCAAGGCATAGTATCTCACTAATTAGATATTATTACACTTGCTTTTTATTAAGTTGGCTGCCAAAATATTATGTGAATTGAAATGCACCTTCATTTATTTCCATGTATTTACTTTGCTGTGGGCTATGCATTACGAGTTGTATCTTAGAATATTCTTAGCTCAAGTCCACATTCTTTGAAAACTTTCTTTATCCCAAAATGCAAATGTATGTCCACATGTGCACATAGACAAATGCATATCCTGCTTTAAAACATGCTGCATGGCATGTTACTTTGGGGCTGTGTTAACATCATGTTTTTTCTTACTCTTAGTCATACTATTTAAAATGAATGTCTACCAGGCAAGCTGTCTCTAACAAATTATCTTTTAATGAAAAATTGTAACTGGCACTCAGATATCTTAGTTTGTAACTCTCTCCTATACATGTAACATTCAAGTTCCATTTTGGCAAGGGCATTTTTCTTCTATCCTGTATTTGAACAAATACTTGCCAACATGCTCAATAAACAAAGTGAGATATTAAATGGCTCTGAGGGAGAAAATAATCTAATAAGCTCTTGTTGCCCCTGAGAGACTGTCAGAAAAAAGCTTTTGGTTTTTGGCTGCATTCTAACTCTAATTACATCCACTTTAGGACTAGCAAAAATAATACAGTTGAAAACAAAATATTTCAAAGGCAAAATTGATTATATGACTTTTATACAAAGATACCTACATATTGGATATCTGTATAGGGAAAAATGCAAAAAAATTAATAAAGCCAACATTTAAATGTAACTATACAAAGAACAAAAATGTTGGGTCTTTAAAAATTATAGATTTTTTTGTAGCAATAAATGATTTGGCTATTATTTCAAAATTTTAATTGACTTGATAATTATTTATATATACTACAATATTATGTGAATTTTCAATCATGTATTACTTGTGTAATGATCAAATTAGTATACTTGGAATATCTATCCATTATTTCAAACCCTTATCATTTATTGTATTGATAATATTCAAAATCCTAGGTATTTTGATATATACAATATATGATGATAAACCAGAGTTACTCCATTCTGCAGGGGAGTAAAATGGAATCCCCCTTCCTAAATGCAACTTTGCACCCACTGATTGACCTCTTTCCATTCTTCCTACTCCACCCCGTCATCTTCTTGTAATCACTGTTCTACTTTGTACTTAAATGAGACCAATTGTTTTAGATTTCATAGTAAAATCAATTGGTATTTGTTGTTATGTGAAATAAGCCAGGCAAAGAAAGTAAAATAACTTGTTTTTCTATGGGTCCAGAGCAGATAAGGTAACTCTTTTGCTCTTCTTTTCTTTTTGTTACTGGGAATTGAAAGCAAGGCCTTCACCTCAAGTTACATACCCTGCCCATCTGCCCCTGTTTTTGAAACACATTCTCACTGTCTCCAGTTTTCTCAGTTTGGGCTGGAACTTGAGATCCTTCTGCCTCAGTCTCTAAGAATGCTAGGCTCACGGATGTGGGCCACCATGCCCAGTTCCTGTTTTTTAATGTGGTATCATTTCTGTTTTCCCTGCATTTTCAGTTCTGAATTTTTAGACAAATCCAGTGAACACAATGTAATCCTGATTGTGGTCATCATCTAACATGCAAAGTCCTCCCCAGATTATATTCTGAGAAATCTTGCACAGGCCAATAAAAATTTAACTTTTTACATTGAATAAAATTGTTGGTGCTGCTGATCCCAAAGGGAATTACATCATCATCATTTGTTACTTTGTGCTGTGCCCTGAATTGTAATGCAAGATCCAAACAAGCAGAGACTTCACCTGCTTCATTTGCACTTGTGAATGTGTCCTCATTATGTAGAATAAAATTGAATAAAGAGGAAGTTATGAAATGAGAAGAAAGGGAGGGGGATACAATTAAATTGAGTGGCATTAAAACAAAGCTATTAAATGACATCGACTGGAACATTAACAGTTAAACAAAGGAAGACGTATAATAGCAGTAATTTAATACTTTTAAGATGGGATTGATAATTAAATTGGCAAGATTTAGATGTAAAGTAATATAATAAGATATTGCTTAAATAGTGTGACCACTAGCTGATGACTAGTTACTATTGTTGAATGAATTAGGAATTGTACCTCAGTTTATACAGGCATTTAATGTATGACAATGTTGTATTTTAATTTAGGTTGAAAATCTGGAATAGGTGAATTTATACCTGGCATAAATTGCTATGCATATATAGAGAAATGAAGTTGTTCCCTTAGGTCACAATATCTTTCAAAATGTCATAGGAATTAAAGACCTCATTTGAATGTAAAGTACATGTTTCAGATGTTTCAGAATACAATTGTGAACACATCATAGAAAGTTCTTGTTTGGGAAAAATCATCTTAAATAAGGCAAGAAATTCAAAAGTAAGAAGATGGGCTTGCTTTACCAAGTGAAAATTAAACATCATGGCCAAAAAAATAACATTCCAATAATTATTAGAGAAAGAACAAACAAGAAATTTCCATTGAAATGCTGTTACCTATAGAAAATGGCATGTGATATCAATGTAAAAAAATCACAACATTGTTACCTCTCGGAAACAAGAGACATCCTTATTTCACCATATGTCCAACCACAGGTAATGCATTATTTCTCTTCTCTACCTAATTACTGCAAAGTTTTTAAGACATATGTTCTACTTATATTGAAATCACTTTAAGCCTCTCAGTCACCTTCTAATTGAGCTTCCGTTACCATTGCTTAACTGTCAACAGTGACCTGTGCTCTACTAAGCTCAAAATCCCCTTTCTTAGCATGGTGAATAGATACATTAATAAATTAAAGAAGCAAGAAAACCCTAGCAATCTCTCCGCTCTGGGCTAGGCTGGGTTGGCTCTTGGCTAATCATAGGTACATGCACTTGGCTTTTATTTTCTCACTCTGCAGCACCTGCTGACCATTAGGAATCACCTGGATAGATTTTACAAACAGAAGCGCCCAGTGTGGAAGTCCAGATTCCTTCTTGAATGGTTAATGATGGAGACTGAAGTTATGTTGTCAGAGAATACAGCAGGAAATGATTCAAGTATGAGTCACCAAATCAGATGCTGAACTCCAAACTAAACAATCACGTCCCTTCCAGATCATTGTTTCATACTCTAAACAACAGTGAAGGAGGTATTTACAGCTTTGCCTATTTGCTCATTAGGTACATTTCCCTCTTGTTATTCCCTGTGGGAATGTTGTTCTGCATTGAAGTTTTTTCTTGCCAATTCTTTGTTCCCAAGACATCAGGATAAATGTCAGGTGAATAAGTCTTTGTTATATCTTCCCTCTGAACTCTTCTGTCTTCCAGAGATCTAACCCCCTGATACCTAATTCCAGCCCAGAACCAAAGTTATGTTGAAGTTTGACACTGAGAAACATGTCTTAGTTAGGTCCCTTGGCTCTCCGAACACAGTTCCCCATATAGTATTTTCAAAAAATGGACTATTCTTCTCCTCAGCAAGGGAATAAGTTGGAATGCCTTAATATAAAATCATTAACTAGTATAGTCCTTGGCTTCATAATTTTTTTGCCAATACAATTTAAAACATCATATCTATAGCCCAAGATTAAAGAGTTATTATCTATCTAGTCATAAACATCAACATTTCATAATGCAAAACATATGTTCAGATATTTTTATGAATATTTCCCTGAATTAGCAACTTACAACAATTCTCTTTCTGTTTTTATAAAATTCCATATTTGTGGTCTTTACAATTATGCATCTCATTGTACATTTGTAGAAACAGGGCTGAGAATGGTTAAGTGGCCTGCACAGTTGAGTCTATTGAGGGTTAGAATCTCAAAATATTCATTCCATACCTGAATGGAAATCCATAAGGACACAGGGCCTGTGCCTGGAACATAGCAGATCTTTAATAGATTTTAGATGAGTGCATAAATATATGCATGATTTTGATAGGACAAGTGGTGTGAGATGTCCATGGCAAATGCTGGTCAAATAGCTCAGGGTAGTGGAAAGTAAGAATATGCAGTGACAGGAAAAAGAAAAGATGTGTAATAGTTACAAATGTGGAAAGATATTTGGAGACAGGACATATGGGACATTTAGAGGACAAGAGAAATGAAAGGTCTAAACAGTATCTAGGGAAGGGGTCTTGAAGACTGGGATTGCTCTGCTGTCCTAGGGGTAGCAAGCTGGAGAGAGGACAACCTGGCTAGAA